AACACTGGAAGGTGGCCGCACAACCTCCACTCAAAAACCTCCAAGGAAGGGGAGTCCACCACCTTCTGAGGTCCAAACCTCAGCAGAAAGGGAATCATGCTAGATCCAGAGTGACAGAGGGTAAACAGATAGGCTGTGTTGACAGTAGCAAGGAGGTAAATCTACTAAGGGAAGGCTGTCTTGTCCAAGGGCCTTCCAAAATCTAGTTTCAAGACTGCACATTACTTATTTGATAATACCAGCTATTAGGGCACAGAAGTCAGCAATACAGGAGGTATTTTGATGGCAGAAGAACTTAGGTATGACACAAATTGCCCACAACTTTACAGCATAATTCACAATGATGTTTGAAGAGATACTGAACAGAAATTATTCCAAGATGTAAAAACACATTCCTCCCTAGTAGTTTTTTCTACTGAGGGTTGATCTGTTTATCATCTTAACAAAGCTAGGGACTTCCGGGGTGGCGCCATCGGCAATGGCGGACTCCCTCTGAACTGGAGGGACTAGCTCCGCGCGAAACGGGTCTTTTCCGCTACGGCGAAGCGGGGACCCTTTTAAAAATCACAGGCGGATGAAGCCTGTGACCATGGGACTCAGCGGGCACCCTCAGCGCCCCCCCAACCCGCAAAGGAACCCACTAACGGGCTCCGAAGCGAAGAGGGGGAAGCGGCGCGGTGCTGTGAGTCAACTGCTATTTCCGTGGAGCGAAGCCGCACAGCCGTTGCCGGAGAGCGCTGCCTTTTTCCTGGGACAATTTGGCTTCTAAAATAAGCACCCGTGAGTACTTAAACTTTGAACAATTGGACTTTAAATAAGGACTTGCGAGCAGAAAGGAATTGGACTTAAAAATTTTACTTCAATTTGGTACTGAAACGGGAAGGTCTAAACAGGAAGTCAGCCTTCCGTTTCTTTGTAGACAGAATAAAGCAAAGACAACGTAAACTAGAACTCAGAAAATCGCCTCTAAAGGATTGGCTTTCATCATTTAAAATTGTTGAACCCCCCTTCGGCAGCAGGAGAAGAAGGGGGATCTTTTTTGGACTGTTTAAACCTGCAGAAGTGAGTTTAAAGTAAAGTAACTTTCCACCGTCCTGATACTGGAGCGGGGTGTCAGGACTGACGTTGAGATAAACGCTTTTGACAGATAGCTAAAAGAAGAGGAACATAGTGATTCCATTGTTTCCTTTCGCACCTTAAGGGAACAAATATTGATAAAATATCTGAAAAAAGGAAACTCTGTTGCTAGACTTGTCTTTAAAAGAAAGATCAAATAGAAGTTTTCCCCCTAGAGGGAGACTGTGAAACTGTAACCAACTCCTGGGAGCTGGCAGCTGTTACAGATTACAATCGTGGGAATAGACATCTGACCTTGCAGGATAATGTATTTAGAAGCTCTGTTGTGTGCTTTCTATAAAACAAATGCCCTACTGGAACAGCTACATGAGAAGACGAATTTGATGGCTGATTCAATTAGAAATTTTGAACAGGCAGTGGGAAATTTTGAACAGGCAGTGGGAAAATATGTGGAGCCCACCCAGGAATTAAATCAGGAGTGTGCCCTGACAGAACAGGCCCAACAGGAATATGAGCTTTTAGATTTGACAAATGAACTTGGAAAAAGCCAGATTTCGAAAGAAAAAGTTAGGTTTGGCTTGGAAATGGGGGGTTGGATAGACCCTCCTATGCAGGGATGTTTGGACTTTTCAAGTCTGGCAATGGGCCGTGAGATGTTTGGGATTGTGGGGGCTCTCAATTTTGGAGGGCTTTTGAAACATGTTTTTAAATACCACATGGAATTTAGTGTCGATTATGGAAAAGCGGCTGATCTGTTGAGAAGGGTCAAAAATATTGCTAAGCTGGAGTTCCCACGAGTGAAACGAGCAGGAGACAAGGGAAAATACAGTTACAAATATGAAAAAGAGCTGCGGAAGGGACATGGAAGAGACTTAAGGGCCTCGGATATAAGGTCACCAGGTTAATGCGCCAGATCGATGGGATAATAAGGACTGACAAACCCGGGACCAGGAGGAAGGGACACTGGATGAAGATTGGATTTGTTTTTATTTCTTTTTTTATTACTAGGACTGTTTTATAAAATTGATGAATGTTAGAAAAATGTTGGAATGAAATTATTTGGCTTTAGTAAAAATGTTTAAAGAATTATGTAAAAATATTATGGTTATGAGAAGTTGGTAAAAATAAGATTTAAGTTTTAAGTTCCAAGGTTTTTTATAGTAAGATAAGATTAAAATAGTTTAAGGTAATGTAATGACAGAATATTATGAAATATGGAAAGGATTTGCTGTGACAATTAACAACCAGGACACAAGGAAGGGGAGGAGGAGGAGGTAAAGGAAAGAGGGTAATGACAGTTGAGGAGCTGAGAATAATGGATTTGTTTTTAAATGTTTTTAAATTTTTGTGGTGTATTTTTGTTTTCTCTCTCTCTTATTTTGTGTATTTGTATGGTTGGAAGTGGCTTGTTTTTCTCTTTTTCTACTTTGTTTTCTTTTGTAACTTAAAAAAAAAACTATTTCAATAAATATCATTTTAAAAAAATATATCATCTTAACAAAGCTAACTCTCTTTAACTTCTTTTTAAGACTAAGAAGAGAAATGAGGGATTCACTTTTTCACAATGAAGGAACAATTTCTCAGAGGTAATTTCAAGGACTACAGAGACATAGGGTAGAATTCAATGTGACATCAAGTTGGGTATGCACAAGTAGAATGAGGTCTGCTTGTGTAACAAGGATTCCCTCGTTTCCTCCCTCTCTATTCTGGGTTTTCCCCAACCCTCCAGAGCAGATTTAGGGGGCATGGAGGATGCAGGGAGGAAGAAGGTCCAGTTGCACAAGTGGGCCTCATACCATTTGTGCAACAACTTAGTTGGATCTTGCCCACAGAGTTGGAAGTGACTTCCAAGTCCAACCCTGATACCAGCACAGGAAACTCACTGTGACAGCATGTCTGGTAAGTGGCCATCCAGCGTCCACCTAAGGATTTCTTAATGAAGGACAGACTACCACTTTCCAAGGCAACTGCTTGTGCCACCAGGAAATTCTCCTGAATGCTTAGCATAATTCTGGAGCAACAGAAAATAAATCTGGTTCATCATCTATATATCAGCTCCTCAAATATTTGAAGATGACTATCGTTTCTGAATCATCTGTTTCCAAGGCTAAACATAGACAACTCATTTAACCTTTCCTCGTAGGACTTAAGTTTCCAGGTCCCTCATTAACTTTAGCTTCTATATGTAGTTCCATGCAGTTTCTGTGCAGGTGCTTGTCTGTTTTCTGGAAGCAGTAAGGTACTGAATGAGGACCAATAAACTAAAGCTGAATCCCAACAGGACAGAGGTGCTATAAGTTGGTGGCCTTCAGGTCTGAGAATTAAGTAGGCAACCTGTTTGGATAGTCAGCCAACTGGAACCATTTGCCACCAATTTTAAAGAGTCTTCACTGGTTGTTCATATGCTACTGAGGATAATTCAATGTGTTAGCACTGATGTATAAAGTACTAAACGGCTTAAGTCCCAGGGATCTGAAGGAAAACCTATTTCTGCACCATCATGCTTATCCTTTTAAGATCTTCTGGGAGGCCCTTCTTCTATACTCAGATGATGTACCGGTACGTTAATTGGTAGCCCAGTATAGTCTTATCGGTGGTGACACCCCATCTGTGGACTGTCCTCCCTCCCCAAGATACTGCTGACACTGTGTTTGTTTACCATTAGGCACAATGTAAATATGTGTATATACATATATATCTTCATTTGGGCATTTGGTAGGGAGCAGGACTGAGGTGGCAAGACCAGCTGTATTTTTTTTTAGAAGTACTGTAGATTGAGTATGGTATATTGAAGATATTAGTTCAATTTGAATGTTACTTAAAGGAGGCTTTATTTTGAAGATGTAACTCACTCAGGATTGCTGCATGATGAAGGACAGGGTTGGAAATGAGTAAATTAATTATAAACAAATAATTGTTGCCTTCTTCTGGGCACGTTCTAGGATAAGACTGAAAATGTGTAGCAGATTTCATCTCAGTTATTCGTTCCTAATTCTTTGTGTAATTTTGTTTTGTTTTGGTGACTTTTAATAGCGGAACTCTTATGCCAGCACAGTGAGATGACTGCAAATGTGTGTAATGCAAACAGCCTTGATCATATGATCAATAATTCAATCAAAGTACTTTACAGTCATTTTGGATAAGTGCAAACAGCTATACCAAACACAGAGCAGAAAATAATCAGTACTTACACCTATCTTATGTTTCTATCTTCTATCATTGTAGTCTAAAATCACGTAAAAATAAACAAACATTCATTGAGTGGTATCATTATTAGCATTGGAGGATTTTTTTGTTTTTGTTTTTTGGAGCAATGCCCTAATACCACACTATAGCTGCTTGAAATCAGAGACACAATAGATCTCTCTCTCCTGCCACCCCCCGCTCTCTTCTAACCAGTAATGCACTCTGTGCTGTACAACAAAACATTCATGTACATCATCTTGGTATTTCTAGAGGCTGGCATTTCCAAACTTGACATTTCCCTTGCCCCGTAGGTACATATCAGATTTGTGGAAATGTCTCTGATATAGGAAATGATATTGTTATATAATGTGACAACTATATGCACTCTTATCTTATTAATTATAATGGTTGATTAATTGCTATTCATTTTCACAAACGAGAAACAAAAGACCCTTTGGGAAGCTATAGGTCTAGATTCATCAGTAGCTTCAATTATTTTTTTTAAGGACTAGAACGGTGAAATATAGAGGAAGTTTCAAATAATGAAACATATTAAGGCTGAATGATCCAAGTAGATCATCTCCTTCAGGGATGATGTTTAGGTTTGTGACCTTCATCAGGATATGATCAGAAAACATTTTAGATATCTATATTTTAAGACTCATAGTACCTGCAAACAATAGCCTAGGATGGAAGGCACCAAGCACTGAGACAGTGATGTTTTGTGTGTGTGTGTATGTATGTATGTATGTGTGTGTGTGTGTGCGCGTGTGCGCACGCGCACACACACACACACACACACACACACACAATGCTGCAGGTAACAATGTTTAAAATTGGGAACTATGTTTTGAGAACTCATCTCCCAAAAACTCCATCAGATGGAAGCAAATATAGCAAAACTATAGTGTACAGTGGCAGTGAGCCAAATTTCCCCTCCTGATTTCAGGAGACCAGTTTGCCCACTACAAAAGTGGGGAAGCTTCAGCTGCTTTCTGTGGAGCAAGCAAAGTCCAATGTTTTGTAAGGTATGTGTGTCTTACCTGAGTTGCTTACACTGTGGTTAGGGCCCCACACTTTCTACACTAATTTTTTTTTTTGCTCTACCTGTTGTAGCTGCAAGGCTCTCCATAGCACTGTATTTTCTGACCTATTTTCACTTTTAAAAAGAATGAATGAATCATCGGGGATCGGGGATCCTGAAGGAGTCTTGCCCAAAGGATCAGGTGGTATTACAAAACATGCCCAGAAGAGCCATCAGACTTAAGCAGTTATGCTGCAAGAGCTGTTCTTACTAGATCCTGGGTCTTTTGTATCCTATCCTGTGAAAAGAACACCTTGGCCTGCCAAGTGTTGATTTTGTATGGAATAGTGAAGCAGTTTGAGCATCAGATATATAAAACGATATTTCCTTTTTATAGTTCCTGCAGGCAAAGATAATTCATTATCTGAAGCCTGAGTTCTTTCAGCAGGGTGGGAGGGTTCTCATGCAGCTTTCGGGATCTTAAAACCCCATATGGGAGCTTTGAAGAGACAGTTCCTAGTAAACAGATTATCTTCTTTCTTCAGTCTACTTTTTCTAGTCCTTCATTTTCCCAGAATAGCATCCAGGGCTTCCCCAAAAAGCTTAGTGTCATGAAAAGGAACAACTTCCCAGGATCTTGGATAAGCTTACCAGTAATGCAGCGAAGTCTTCTTTTGCATACATGATCCTGGCTGAAAGCATGTAAAGAATCAACTGGAAAACTGCTAGCACTTCCCTCAACTCATCTTTTGTTTATCTGGGAAGCGCTGCTGGTTACGTGTGCTTAAGCAAACTGCCCAGGTAAAAGGAGGTTGGCTGTAGAAGGCCACAAGGAAGCAGAAAGGGACTCTAAACTCTATACCAGTGGTTCCTAATTAGGGGTCTGGGAACACCCGAGGGGCTGCAAAACATACCCAGTGAGGCTGTGGCCCCATCCCTTGTCTCATCCCAACAATTTTTTTGTAATTTTTGCATAGTAGTATCACACATTTTATGGTCTGTTTTAGTGCTGTGCAATTTTTCAATATATTGGCCAAAATCGGTTTTGAAATCACACCGCGATAACGATTTTGACACGGCAATATATCGCTCTTCGCATGAGGGAGAACAGGGCAGCCAATTTGAAGGCACTGCAGATATCACACGATGATCTCAGGCGGTAACGCTGCTGATCCGAGCTGCCGTCCCTCACACCGACGGAAAACTGGGCAGCTCATTGACCTCACTTCAAGGCACCATGGCACTACCTTCCCCTGGCACTGAGGCAGAACAGCTTTTCCCAGTCAGCAGGAAAGCAGCAGCAGCCACAGTGGATGTGCATCTTTGCCGGCTGCCCCCGCTGGCTGCCCCACTGACGGCAGCTTGATCCCCCATCCCCTCAAACAATGGAGATGACTCTGCTTCTTCTCTTCTCCCCAACCATCCAATCTCTGCAGCTCCTCCTTCCCTCATCCCCACGCCCAATCTGCATGCACTCCACCTGTCCGATCTCTGTGACTCCTCCTCCCATCATCTGCACACATTTCCAATTTCAGACACTGTGATATTATCAAAATATCGCAATGTTTAGCTGCTGACAAATCACATTGTTGAAAACCAGGTATCACTCTGCCCTAGTCTCTTTTTTTTGTTTTTGTTTTTAAAGTATACCTAAGATCTTTTGCTTATTAGGGGATACCCCGCATTTTGTTCAAAAAATTGCTTTGCAGAGGTAACTGCCATAGAGTTATCAAATTTTTCAAAAGTACGGGGTCCGTGGCTTGTGTTTTGAAAAACAGCGGTTCCTCAGTAATTAGATAATTGGGAACCACTGCTCTATACATTCATTTTCAGGGATTCCTAGGCAAGTACCAGTAATCAGTCAGATAGAATGTCTGGAAAACTGACGAACTCTGTCACTGCAACACCTGCTAGAAGAGTTTTTAGCCTCAGAGGGCAAGGAATAATGATTTGGAGCACATATGGTTGCAGCCAGTTCTGCTGCCTGGGGAAAAGGAAACGGGAGAAATGAAATTGGGAGGCTGGGATTTATGAGTGCTCTATGGAAAGGCTGCCTTGGATCCCTTTAGTTTCTCCAAGGAGGATCCTTCCACTTTCCTTTTATCCTCAATTAACTCTGGGATCCTAGGATCAATGTCCTGTGGGGGAGGAGAGACATGGAGGAACAGGTACTCTTGGCTAGTACCATTTATAGCTTCCTGCTCTGACAACACTCCTCTTCTTGGCTGAGAGTTACCTCAGTGCTCCAAAAGGGCTGCCAGTTGGTCCATCAACAGACTGTGATCACTGGCTGCCAAAAGAAAACAAAGATGTTCATACTCTACAACAATGTTACATTAGATCTTGCCCATTGCCTCTTGGTGCAAAGAATCAAGCCACTGGGAATTCAATTTGCCAGATACCTAGAACCAATGAATACTAACTGCAAATTACTACTACTACTATCTACTGCTGCAAATGCTCCTCAACAAGTCCTTCCCTTCACAATGTTAAGTTCTGGGAAATGGGGTACCTTACAGGGATCTTAATCAAGCTTGCCCAAACCACTGTCTTAGAAATCTGGAGGTGAGGCTCTGGGGGAAATAGAGCTAATTGTGAGGCAAAGTGGGGACAACTCACTCATCACTGGCTATAAGCTGGCAACTGTCTCTTATAATTATTTTAGTAATATTACTGGAGCAATGTTGGATCCAGTCATTGAAACCTTACTACTCCAATGATGTAAGAATAGGTCCGAAATAAGGTTGTGATCAGCACTGTGTAAAGCAATACTAGTGCTTCCCAGGACTTTGAAACAATGCTTTGGTTAAGACAATTTAAATGCACTGGTCTTATAAGTCACAGAATCACATTAGTGATTCATGTTCAGTCTGTTATGCATTTTGTTATCTCTAAATTCTTCTTGCCTATTCTACTGCCTACCCTGTTAGCCTCTATTTTCTACTTGTGCATTTGGTTACACCTTATCAAAGAAGGGGACTAGGTTGGTCTGGCATGATTTATTATAAAGACAATGCACTGAGCTTTTGATGCAGGAGATCAGCTGATGGGGATGATGAGAAGAAAAGGCTGGAACTCTTTTACTTGCTTTTTGATAAATTCAGCTAAATATAAGCATATGAATATGGACTGAAACTGTGTGCTTATGTTTCATGATGGCATACGTTAACATTTCTCACTGCTATTCTTAAAAAAAAATATCCAAGTTTCCTGTGTTCTGGCTTATCTCTCATGAGTGCTAAGATTCAGGGAGCTAAAATAGGCCTTTTTAAATTCCCAAGTTCTACCAATGAAGCTTTAAAATTTCATACCATTCAACATCCAAAAGGGATACTGGAGAATAGACAGGTGTCACATAGGAGAGAGAGGGTTGTATCTTTAAATTACTTTCCACATTGTCCCTGCATGACAGCCGATTCATATTTTCAGTCACTGAGGCAGGAGTTCTCCCACCGACACAACTATACCCTTCAACTTCACTCTCATGAAAAAGCCTTTGCCTCAAATGGCCACTAAGACTATTCTAAATCAGCATCAGACATTGCTGCAACTCTGTAGAAAGCCCAAACCACAGAAACTAATTGTACCATTTGGAAACACCACTCTTCATTAGTGGTGACAGCCCTCATTGGGAAGGGAAGCTCATTATGTGATGGCTTGATTCATAGAGCAATGCAACCGGAGAGTAGGAACAATGCCACAGGGACTTGGATGTAATATTGGACATCTTTCAACTTTACAGTGGTCAGAGGTTGGTAAGAGTAAATGTGTGTGGATATGTGCAGTTAGAATGCAGAAATATAGCAAGCAAAATAACAAAAAAAAAAGATGGGTGTTCATTCTATTTTGCGGCCATGTTATATTTGAGGACATGGAGGAGAAAAAAATATTCAGAAACAATTGGGTTCCAACACCTTACTTCTCATTAGAGGCATACAACTATTTGTCTTTCTTCTTCTGCCATTAATTACAAATAAATTCATCTCTCTCTTCTGAAGCCTGAAGTTCGTTGTTGTTGTTGTTAGATGAGTTGAATTCAAACTCCAACCAAAAAAGATGAGACCAACATTGAAATTCATCTCACAGTCCAGAATTTACTTAACGGCCAGCCTGTGAGCTGTGATAAACGGAATGATGATCCGGCAACATGTCTTTATCCATGGTTTGCTTTAATTAACGCCGGCTTGTTTGTTGAAAAGATGATTAATATGCCAATGAAAATTGCATAATTGAATACCAGAACACTGGCACAATCAGAAAGACACATGCAGTTTTTGATTAACATTTATTATTATTACTATTATTATTATTATTGTGCACTTTAATGTATGCTTCTCACTATGAAATGATGCAGTTTTTGACCGAGAGGTGAAGGGAAGCAGGAAACAGATCAGGAAGCTCCATAGGCTAGTTCAATTTAATGCAGAGCATGCTGAAATGGTTCCTAAAAATCAACTAGTCTTTTCAGATTAAAAATATAAGCATTCTCAAAAGAAAAACTGGAACGAGTGAAGAATCATAACAAATGAGTTATGAAAATAAAAATATATATGATAGCAGTATACTATTATATTATATATCATTTATGTAAGTATCATGTCACTTAGTTATCGACTGAACCAACAGAATATACAGTATATATAAATAAATTTTGATATAAAAATGATCCTTATAACAAATTATAATTTAGAATAAATAAAATAATACTATCTTATTATGAAATCATTAACCTGCAATAAAACTATTAACAATTTGAGATCTAGACAAATATAAACCCAGATTTAT